TGCCGTATCCTTCACACAACCACATATTTTAGTTTTTTTGGGAGATTTGCTGGATGAGGGTAACATAGCTACCGCTCAGGAATACAAGCAATATGTGCAGCGCTTCAAGCGCATCTATAAAAATAAGAGGCTAACAAATGTAGGTAAAAACRACATGCACTTTATTTTTAGTTTTCTCTGCTTAAACCAATATATATTCAGTTTCGCATGATATCTGCCTACTTTCAGCGTGTTCATGTGCCGGGCGATAACGACATTGGCGGCGATGATGGCGATTACATATCCAATTCGAATCAGCGACGCTTTGAAAATGAATTCATGAGCGAAGATCTCTTTGACTATGACAATCACTTACGTTTCTTCAAAATCAATCGCATGCTATTGGACTACACGAATCCCGACAAGGAACATAACGCTGAACGCCTACGTATCGGAGTCTCCCATGCCCCACTGCTAATTGGCGGTGGGCCGCTGTTGCGCGCCGTTATTAACGATTTGGATCCACATATACTGTTTACAGGACATTGGCATGAATCGCGTATATTTGTCTATCCGTCGATAAAGGCGATCCAATTCTATGAGAACGATGTGCGGCATTTCGATCTGAAAGCCCTGAAAGAGACGGAGCACAGCTACCTGGAGATAATGGTGCCAACATGTTCATATCGCATGGGTAAATTTAAGATTGGCATAGGATATGCCGTGTTAGGTGAGTGTGGAATAATCTTATATGGATATATATATATACATCTCATACTCATGTCACACATATTTTAGAAAACTACAATTTAAGCTATACTGTGCTGTGGCAGCCCAATCGGTTTATATTTCTCTTCAGCTATCTGTTTTGGGGTCTCTTTGTGCTGTGCAGTGCCATCGTCTACAAAATGATGACACGATGTCCCTTCCGCGTGGCCAAGCGGCAATCTCAATATAGTCGCGTCTCAACCAATCATAATTTTTAGACTTAAATTACCAACACATWTTCAATCAGTACTTTTTTAATTTCTATATAATGTTATAGTACAATTTGCCAAATAGGAACTGACAAAGCCAAACAAAACTTATAGAGATTATTAAAAATGGCATAAATACAGGAATTTTTAATTTTTCCATACTRAACAGTTTRCTACCTTTTTTGGTAGTATGTGTATGTGGCGGCTTTACAAAAGAGGAGTAGAAAATGTAGGGTTGCGCAGAGTTGCATTCAGCGCACAGCAAATACTGGGTTCAGT